GGACTTCTTCTTTGTCTGGCCCACTCCCTTTCCTGTCCCTTGTCTCCCATCCGGTTCGAAGCCCTTTGCCCGAGATGCCACCAAGCCCTCAGGTTGACCTCCTCCTTGATGAGTGGTTCTTGGACCTTGAGATCTCGACCTTAACTCGTTGCCCTTGCCCTCGACCACCTCGCTTCGCCGGTGCCGGAGTGACCGTCCCCATCAAGGATTGGAGCTGCTCGAACTGCTGCATAGGAGTCAACTCATACAGGCGACGTCTTTCCACCTCCAAGTCCGTCTCCCTTGGGGGCTCGTCGACTGTCATCTCCAGCTGGCGCTTCACAGACTCATCGCTCTCTGGCGTTCTGAAGGCCTGCTGCTCCAGCTCACGTTGAAGGTCATGAACCTTAGCTTCCAGGCTCGCCCGCTGGTACTTCATCGCGTCCATGAGCTCTGCCTGTTGGATCTGCAGTTGATTCTCCTGCTTCAACATCGCCAACATTGTCATCATCTCCTGCGGATTCGGCGGACCAGGGCCATAGGGATGTAGTTGTACTTGCCATCCTCCTTGATGTGGCATAGTCCTCTCTTCATGAGGCATGATGTAACCCGGTGGTCCACTCTGTCCAAAGCCCTTAGGAACATGTAGGCCTCGTCCTCCAGGTCCATTGCCATGAACTTGAACCATCATCTGTTCTCGGATCGGGACTGGTTCTTGACCATCACTTTCACTTCCTGGTTCATGCACTTCAGGTACCCGTGGTTCTCTTGGTCGGCCACGTCGTTGGTCTTCTGGTACATGATCCCCCATCAGTGCCGGCGATGGTGTCCCCGTCGTTGTACTCGTCTGCGGAAGTGCTCCAGCCGGACCCTCCTCCTTCGGCAGGAACTGCGGTCTGTCCCTTTTCACCTCTTCCGGAGACCTGCTCGCCATACCAGGCTGCCAAATGCTCTGCCTCGGGACTTGAGCATATAGGTGAGGAGCTTGGCTCTGCACTTCATGAAGTCCCTTCAGCTGTTCCGGTGTGAAGAGTGGGGTCATCGGTGTCAAGGTCGTAGGCGGTCCTTTCGGGCCTTCCAAGGTCTCCTCTTCCCCACCATCTTCACCATCCTCCAGAGCAAGCTGCTCTTCCTCCAGCTGCCGATCATGTAGTGGGAGACCTTCCGGATCGGCTTCTTCTCCTTCTCCATCATCGCCAGGTTGCCGTCTTCGTCGGCGAACCATCATGGCCATGGCTTTCGCTTGCGCAGGGCGGCCCAGCGATCGACCTCCTCAAGCTGGGTCTTACACCTCCAACCTTGGGCTCATAACCTGAAGGTTTCAGCCTGAACACCTTTTTCAGGCTTGTGCAAAAGCGGCTTCCAACCGTCTCAGTTGGGTTCGTTTCAAGTGTCCGTTTTGGTACACCTTTCGTTTTGTGCGTGTCATCCTTTGCGGACCAGCAGTACGTACAGCTTCGTGTCACTGGTAACTCAGGGTAAACCATGACCAATGCAACACAACCATTGTGCAAACATTACACAAGACGTGAAACAAACACAGGTCATCCTTACTAGTAGCTCGATCCCCCACACAAAACAGGAACCCTTCGCTTGACTTTGGGCATTAAGACATGAAGAGCAAAATAATTTTGAAGTCACTAATCTGCGGGCCCATAGATACTTCTTGGATGGGTCCTAAGTATTCAAGAGTCATGCAAACACACATGTATACTGTATCCATAGATGTGTCTGTGTGCGTGCGTTGAGCAAATCCGATGCTGTCACGCTTACATCATATCTCTTGCTCTTGGGATGATGTCTGCTGTGCAGCAACTTTGCTGTACCACTGTAAAGTGAATGCAGGAACCGAGCCTTCTGTGAATGTGAACCTACTTTGCTACTTGCTCTTGCACAGTAATAGAATCTAAGATATGATTGCCTTTCCATGTTAATTAGTTGAGTCAAACAAGCCTGGGTGTTCATTTGGCACGGATCTCTCATGCAAATACACATCTGAAAACATCCGTATAGCCAAACATTGAACATCATACAGTCTTACAGTATCGCTTCGTGACTGAACTTTTCCTTCCCTCCGGCTTCGACAGCCTCCGGCTTTCCAGGCCTTTGTCGGCCTTCGTATCCAGGACTGCGCGAGCGGCCAGCAGCCGGTCAACTATGGCAAGGTGGCCGTTCTCGGCTGCAAGGTGCAAAGGTGTTCGGCCTCGGAGCTTGTTGAGTTGAAGCTTGTTGAGTTGAAGCTCGTTCAAGGTGCAGAGTCTCAAAAGTATTGTTCTATGGCCTTCTTTGCCTGCTACGTTGTTGTAGGATGCAATGAACGGCTAAAGACGTGACTCCTCCTATCTAGGCGAACACGAGGTCAACTTCGAATGTCCGTCATCTGCACAATTGTTTGGAGACGCGGGGCTGTTGAGGCAGCAAGGCTCGACATCGCAATTACTCGTATGAGCGTCTCATCTCGTCTCGAACTGCCTTCAGTCCACGTCCACCATCCACCATCCACCAACGCCCGTTTAAAGGCTTCGGTTTCGCCCCCATCGTCTTGCAGAGTCGACACCAAAAATATCATATCAACCATCGAACGCGCTATTCCTTATATTTCAGAATAAACTCAGAAGGAACTCATATCAGTCAAGGTAAAAATCGCAAGCGCTACTCGCTTTTCTTTGGGCCTTCACCGCAGCATTTAAACCAGTGCTTGCACTTCAGGAGCTTCTCGATTTCTTCAAAAATAGCCACTGCGTCTACAGTGTTCCAACAGGCGTCTAAAGGCTTCAATCTTTCACCTTTGATGCGCCAGTCCGCCGAAACTCGAGGACCCTGGCCTTCTCTGTCTGTGGTCTCGATCGCAACACCATTGGCCAGCAAATGCTCCACCTCCTCGATCTCTTGCTTGAGAGCAGCCAGGTGCAGCGCCGTCCTGCCTCCAATCTGCTCAAATCTCGGGCACTTGAGCGGCCGACGACGACAACTTGGACGGCCCATGACAGACCCAACTTCTGATTTTAAAAGTTTTCTGCAAAGGATCAGCCAAAACTTGGAGCAAGCATTGTCTGAGCCGCCAGCCTCTTGCATCCACGTCAGGACCTTGGCTGAGCTGGGGATTTCACCCTTCCTCTTCGCGATTAACAAAAAGTTCTTTGCTAGAAAAGCCCTCCAGACTCCCAACAACTGTTGCCGGCGTCCAAATTCTCAGGCCAGTTGCGTAGTGTGGCTGACCTATTCTTAGGCGTAGCGAAAACCCACTGCTATCGCAACTAAACTTTGCAAATAATCCACTTTGATGACCTGAGAGCTCAACGTGTTGCAGCTGCCGTTTCACCAGCCTGTTGCCAAGAATGTAGTATTTGTGGCTAATTGAACATAGTCCATGAATCACAAATTTTCTGGCTCACCTTGCAGATCATTAGCCTTGGGACGTTGATGTCTTCCACACGTTTGCGGATTATCTTTTGGGCCATGCAGGCATGACGTGCTTGAAACATGCTCATCATGATCAAACAACCTCGCGCTGCTAAGGTAAAACACTTATATACATTGAAATCCAAGACATTGGGGGGCATCAAAATGAAGAATTCGTTTTGCTCACGTGCACTACTCTGTCGACCTCGTCTTGCAAATCTCCTTGCCTCTGCTTCCGTCTGCATTGATCCTGAACAAGCTTAGCGAAGCGGCCGAGCCCGGCTGAGCGAAATGTCACACGTTTGCCATCACGAACAAGAGGACGCTACTAGGAGCAAAGGGCATCGCTACTAGAAACAAGGATGCTACTACAATACCAACTCTTTGGGCAAAAGGGGTCGATCGGTTTTTCGGGCCTGCCATTCCCATCTGAAGCTCCTTTAACCCTCACAGACTCGCCTGGGAAAAAAACATGACGGAGACAAGACAAGACAAGACTTGCAACACTTGGCTGATCAAAACTGCTTGCAGCCTGGCTGACCAAGTCAGAAGTGGGCCATGCTCTGCCGACGCGTGTGCCATAGATATTGAGTGGACGTCTGCTGAAAAGATCAACTTGTTGCCTTCTTCCTCCCACACACACATCGATGTGCTTATGGAAACCTTAAGGTTTGGACATCAGTGTCTGCAAGGAGTAACGCACAAAGTAAGCAGCGGCCGGACGTTTAAAACACATTTCTTCGAGAGACCTGGAGGAGATACCTGGGACCAGTGAAGTATGTTCCATGAAGCTCCAGCTTGTTCTGCACAAACGGAAGCTCTGTTTGTTGCACCATCACTAAAGAAACAACATGAAGCTGGTGATTGTGGTGCCCATTGTGGAGATCCCTTTTACAGTGTATCATGTTACACCGTATGTATATATCTATTTTTTATGTCTTACGGTAGCTCATAAGCGGTCTCATATGCATATACAATGTGTCAGCTGTGTCAGCACATAGCTGCTGGAATTGCCGAGTATCTTGAGCCAAAGGGAATTGCAATTTCTGCGCGCAACCCCTCAACCTGCAGAAGCTCAACGTCAAAAGACATGCCCTTCGACTACCAACAACGCAAATAGGCCCTTTTAGCCACTCAGATATATATACTCAGATCTGAAAGAATCTCTTTGGATTTAGGTCAAGGCTTTGGAAAGAACTCTGGCGTTGGAGCATTCATTTGATGCTTGGGGGTCTTCTCGGTCTGATACACGTCCATACCTCCACACACATCGAACTCTTCGTACAACCACTTCGCCTGTCGTGTGAGCGATAAAACAATGCTGAGCAGGGCCATGAAAGCACTGGCAGGGCGATGTGACACCTCAGGAAGGCCGTAAGTAGTCATGATCAAGGACACTGGCACTTCAATCACCACCTCCAGCTCAAGTAAGTTGTGAAGTTCCTCTGCACGGACACCTGTTTTCAAAGTTTGCCGCACAGCGGAGCCAAGCTTCATGAAGACTCCATCCAAAAGTGCCCTGAAAAAGCCCAACAAGCCTGCTCCAAGGATCAAAGATGCAAACATATACCCCGCGAAAGATCTCGCCGCTGCGAAGTTGACAATGGTGTACAAATCTGTCACGATGTCCAACAGCCAGAAGAAGGCTTCTTTGAAGACGTCCAATGTGTCTGCTGCTTGCAGTGTCTCTCGAAGTATGCTGCATCTTCCAGGCTGACGGCCTGGGCACCTCCTTCATCACGCCTCTGCGTGGCAATCTGATGTACCCTTTCTGCGACCTCGTTCAACGTGTTGTGGCTTTCGTGTGTTGTCGGTGTGTTTGGCTCGCAGCTGGCAGCGTGTTCTGCGAAAAGATTCCACATGACTAACACGACCCATAGACAAGTGAGCATCAACACCAAGAAACGGTAAAGGATCAAGACGTCACCCAACGACATGGGTAGCTGAGCTGGAGCCGTTGGCCACAATCCCGCGAGCAACAAAGCTCCACTGAGATATGCGACTCCCAAGGCGGCATTCCGAGGAGAAATCCACTGGGTCGCTTCGCTCCCTTCGTGACTGGGAAGGTTCTCTTCAGGGTCCTGACCGTCCGGGCGAACGGTTTATCGGGCTGCAGAAACAAAAACATGGACATCAGCAGCTGCGAAAGCGGTCTTTGCTTTGTGACATAATATGGTGCCAGTGGAACTGAACAAACGACACGGGCATAGACACCAGGCAGCAACTAATTCTAATTCAATCGGAAGCGCATCTTTTCCTCTTAGCCCAGCGAGCCCGTGAGACCAGTGGGGAGACATGTAAAGAGACAAGAGGGGAGGCAAGGCAGCAGCGCAGCAGCCGCCCACAGCAGCAAACCAACACGGAATACGGGCACCCAGTCATTGAGAAGTAAGAACTCCTATAGCCTATAGCTATCGCTGTCCGGGGTTTGCCATGCCGCACAGCAGGTTATCTTTTGCATGGGTTGGGCGTTCAAGATTGTCTTTTGCAGGGTCCGAGTGCCTTGGTTGAGCAATCATCTGGGTGAATTACAATAATTCGCGGGTCGTCGCTTATTTTCGTTAATTTGGAAATGGAATAAGTGACGTCGTCGGAAATACGAAATTAAGTGATGTCGGGTCGGAACTAACATTGGACCACATGGACACACGCGCGCGCAACAACACTGCATTGTCAGCAACGCCTTTCTCTTTGACAAGGCCGGAGTTTCGTGGATGGCTTTCATCGGGTCGCTGGGCAATTGAACTCCGTTAGGCTAGGGCTTCCGCTGTTCTTTGGTTTGAGTTGGACCCACTTGGTGCAGATGGGCCTTGTGGCGTCTATTCAAAAAACCACCCCTTCCACCCCAGCAGATGGAGGAACGTGCCTATCTGCTGCAGATAGGGCTTTTCAAATTTCGCGTTTTGATGAATAGGCGCCCCTTCCACTCGAGCAGACGGCGCCTATCTGCTGCAGATAGGGCTTCTACTGTGTCTTGATGAACAACAAACCCCCACTCCAGCAGACGGAGAAAACGCGCCTATCTGCTGCAAATAGGCCTATTGCTGCATGTTGATTGGGGACCACCCCATCCAATGCAGCAGAAAGCGGAACGCGCCTATCTGCTGCAGATAGGGCTTCTGGTGTCGCTTGCTCAAAGAGAAGCGCAGGTGCAGTCCAGTAAAGAATCTTTTTAAAGGCAAGCGGCTGCTCTACCACAAGAGGTCCTATAGCCTAATGGATAAGGCCCAGGCGTTAACCTTTCAGTCGCAGGTCCTGGACTCGATTCTTTCAGGCCTATCTGCTGCAGATGGGGCCTCTCCTGTATCTTGATGAAAGACAACTCCTTCCACTCCAGCAAGCGGAGAAACGCGCCTATCTGCAGCAGATAGGGCCTCTAGTGTGATTTGATGAAATGCAACCCCTTCCACTCCAGCAGGCGGAGAAACGCGCCTATCTGCTGCAGATAGGGCCTCTACTATGTTTTGATGAAAGAGAACCCCTCCCACTCCAGCAGGCGGAGAAACGTGCCTATCTGCAGCAGATGGGGCCTCTACTGTGTTTTGATGAAAGACAACCCCTTCCATTCCATCAGGCGCAGGAGCGCGCCTATCTGCAGCACATAGGACTTTTGCTTTTTTTGGACTTGTAGCCGTATGTGTGTTCTGTGTGTATGAGTCAAGAACCTTAATTTCAAAAAGTGGGTCGTTATTTTCAGGTGAGGTCGCTGAGGTCGGTATAGTTCATGTAGAATCATGGGTTTCTTCCAAGCCGGCCTCAGCGTGAGTCCTCTGTTGCAACATGTTGTGCCAACGGGGGGGGTTAGCCCCGCCGGCAACATATATCCGATCCGTTGACTGGTCTTTCAGGGTGGGGGTTGGGGGGGGTTGGGGTCAGTTTCGTCCGTGTTACTACTCGCGTACATCGACTTTGACGTTGACTTGTCGACTCGGTGACCTTTCGTTCGCTCGGTGACCGCTTTTCTTGGCTTAGAGGACATGACGGGCTCGACTGTTTTAGCACTGCGTAGAATGGGTTTTCTTGGCCGTTGCGATGCAAAGCTGCAACGACAGCACGTTGAAGGTCTCGCAGCGTTGTGGTTCCGCCAACATCCCGGGTTGGACTCTTGACCGCCAGCTTAAATGTACAGTGAGCTCAAATGGCTCAATTGGGAACAAGACTGATGTCTGGCGGCTGGAAAATTGGCAAGCTGTACATGGAGCAGGCGGGTGGGTTGGGTCCGTCAAAACGCACTCAACTTATCGTCTTGCAACTCATGAGTTGCAAGACGATAAGTTGAGTGTCCGGAAAGCCACGAAACCCTGTAAAACACACGTTTTTTTCACCCTCGGTGTGTTGCGTTCGGGGCTAACCCCCCCGGTTTACCCAACATGTTGCAACCAATGTCTTTGCGTTCACAGCAATATCATCACCAACACGTTGTCATCAATGAGTCGCATCATTAGATTTTCCTTTGGACCAGCTTTGCTATCACATTAAAAAGGCGACCAAGCACTGAATCGAGCACATGTTCCTTTGTCACATCGTCTTTGTTGTCAAATGAAATCTTCTTCATTGTCAGATTAGCTTCGCTATCAAATCATTGTTTCATAATCGTTTGACATCGTTTTGTTTTACAGAAATGGGCCTTACGCGAAGAACTGAACACCTCCGACGCAGACATGTGGCAGGTATGTGGAAACTCACGGTGAGGCGTTGTCTGCCTACTTGAGGAGGGGGTCCGTTTTGTTATTCCAGTTAGCCTATCCGTTTAAAAAACCGAGTCAGGCTAGCAAAAGTCGTACACGCAAGTTTTAGATGTACACAAAAAAACACTTAGGACAGCTATGGCAAGGAGACCTGATTTCTAGGGATGTCACATGGGCACCTGCTGAATGGGATGGGATGGTCCAGAGGTGCAGTGCTAAGTCCACAAAGCGGAAGAAAAGACTTGTCTAACACAGTAAGAATTCGATCGTTTAAGCACGGAATCTTCAAGGGCTCATTCATGTCGGGTCCTCAACCAGCACATAGGTCCTGTTCCAGTCGCAAGCCCTGGGCAAGATAGTCTTCACGCGGTTCTTCAGCAGCACAAGGCCGCCAATGCTTCCAGCTGCCACAGCCACTGCCACTGCAATCCTGAAGACCGGCCAGCTATCATTCAGTGGAGGAAACGGGATTGGAAAAAGTTCGTTTTTCGATACTTCCTTCATCTGAGACATTGGATAAGTTTGCCGGTCCCACAAATACTTGTGAGTTTCATGCCACACCTGATCATGCTCGTGCCACACGACATCACGCTCTGTGATACACCACAAGAGCTGGAACAGCAAGTAAGCCGTTCTCAACCAAGCCCAGAAGTCTCTCACCCCAAATAGTTTGGCAGGGCGTTCTGCAATCTCATCCCGAAATTTCGTCTGCTTGCAAAGGGCTGGCAGGATGTATGTTGCAATCGACAAGACCAGCATGTGCTCCCATCCTAGAACACGGATCATGATTGTTGGGAACACGACTGCAGCAACGACGTCCAAGCAACGCCTTGCGTACAGCTTCCACTGCAAGGTCTGATCTAAATGCTTCGCCGCTGTTTGAATTTGGGAAGCACGGAGTGATATGTCGAGGACTCTCTGACCACAACCTGCGCAGCCTCTACTAAACCTAGAGGACTCCATTGACTCTGTTGACTCATGAGTTTCTGAGGCAGAAGAATCTTCGGCATCAAGCCCTGCGCTTTGAGTGGGTGGAGCTCGCCAATGGCTCCAAAGTTTCACGATGCAGGCCACGAGAAACGAAAGGAGTATCGTCAGGAAGAGGTACCCGTGAAAGGTCGTGTTGGTCCCGACGGAAAGCAGCTTCTGGCTGAATTGAGTGGATGGCACCGGAACGTCCAGCTTGAAATAGTCCTCCGACTTTGTCCTTTTCAAGCACACATTGCTGTTGAATTCCGGCATCTCATCAATGCGGTATCCCAAGTAATCTTTATGCTGAAGATCCGTGTGATGTGCCAATTCCTCCCACACATCTTTGGTGCATTGCCGGAGGGCGACAAACAAAGGTGTCTGCAGAAAGGCATTTGAGACATTGGGGTCGTAGTGCAACTCCTTGATCATGTGCTGGACCAACGTGGCTTTTTTGCTGCGAACAGCGTTGAAGAGCGCCGTCTCCTTCCAACTATTGGCGCTGTTGACCCAATGATTGGTGCAGTTCATCAGGACCTTGTGGAAGAGATCGACCGCCTCCACTTTGCCGCTGAAGGCTGCCCAATGCAAGAGGGTGTTGTTTTGTGAATCATTCTTGAGAGGCTGCAATTGAGGCATTTCTGTCAATCTCCTGCAAACCTGAACATGGCCACCTCGAGCTGCCCACATGAGCGGCGTCATGCCACCCTCATCTGCAGAATTCAAGTCTGACTGGCTTGACAGAGCTTCCACATGATCCACTAAGCCCAAACGAGCTGCCATGCTGAGCGCCGTGCGTCCCTTCGCGTCCTTCGCTCCAGCTGCATGGTCGAAGCTTTCGAAATGGCGTAGCATGGACAAGTCTCGTGTCATCACAGCCCAATGCAAACCGGTCCAGAGCAGCTGGCCAACATCGAGTGTAGAGTTCAAGCTCGGCGCGTCTCCGGCCAGAAGTGAAATCAATGCTTTGGCGCCTGGAGTTTCAACATGTTGAGCTAGCAGCATGGTTGCGTTTTTGGCTTTTTTCCACTTCTCTGTCCACCATTCTTGTGAGCTGACTGCGTGGTCTAGAGGCAATTTGCCAGAGCACCGAGCACCAGACCGAGCACCTGCGTTCAAAAGGTAGAGAACGGTGGTGGGCTCAGCATTCTCAGCCGCTCGACACAAAGGCCTTGATCCATTCTTCCAGCTATTCAAGTCTGCCCTTTTCTCATGCAGCTGCTGCAGGCTGTTGGCTTGCCCCTTTGCCGCGGCCTCATGCACAGCATCCACAAAACCTGCTGGGTTTCTGTTGCTAGGGACATGCTCAAGAAGAACTTTGAGAATCATGGGATGCTCAACGGCCCAGTGTAGTGCTCGCACCGGGTCTTGGTAGATTCCATCCATTGGGTCCTGGAAGGGGGCAGAGACCAGATGCTCCACACGATCAGTAAGTCCCTTGAAGGCTGCCGTGTCCAAGATGCTCTGGCCGTCATCGTTGCGCTGCTGGAAACACCAGCTGCTCTCATTTCGCAGCAGCTGTAACACCTTCACGTATTGGCCACCCCAAGTCTTTCCCTGGGCAGCGAGATGCGCAGCAGTGTTCCCCCACAGATCACGGCCATAAGTCTTTGCCCTACAGTTCTTCATGAGAGTATTGAGAACTTTGGGAAAGCCTCTGTAAGCAGCTATCATGGCAGGCGTGCTGCCATGTGGGTTTCTCACCTCTACATCGGCACCATACCTGCACAAAAGCTCAACCATGCCAAATCCATTCCAATAAGCGGCCTTCTGCACAGGCCTCTCACCAGAGCTTGTCACTGCTTGATCAGGATCGGCAGATTTCTCCAACAGCACTTTTGCAAGGTCATTCTTGCTGTAGGACACTGCGATGAATAGAGCTGGCAACCCCTTGTACGTACTAGTCGCCTTCAGCAATTTCTGTGGATCATCACCCTCTAGCAGCAGCTCTTGAACCACACCAAGGGCATCTCCCTCAGCCTCAAATCGAATGGCCGCACCAAGCGCTGTATAGTTGTAATCTGACCTACTGGAAGGAGTCAGTGTGGAAGCCCCTTTGGACAACAAAGCTTTCACTACACCAGAGAAGCCTAGACCAGCGGCCCACGCAACCAACGGAACTTCTTGGTACATGTAAGAAAACTTCTGGCCATCACAGCGATCCAGCAAAAACCTCACAGCACCAGTCTGATTGCGACAAACTGCAGCAGCGAGTGCGGCATCGCAGTCTGCATGCACGCCTTGGTCCCAGAGATGTTGAAGAATTGTCTTGTTGCCACCTGCCGCCGCCGCAGCCAGCAATGACACGTTGAAGGTCAGATTCTGGACGAGTCGCTGCTCGCGGCGATAGGACACGTCTGTCTGCGCAAAGCCATATCCGAAGTTGCAGCAGCATAGCTCTCCGTCCGAAGGCGTTGCCGAAGGTAATGGTCCACACTGCCAGTTGTCACACATGTATTTCTTGCACACATTCTTGGGCAGCGGAAAAGTCAATGAGTGCCTGTACTCATGGAGTGCAGCTTCTGGTAGTAACTCAAGCAAGTATGAGGAAACATTGGCACTTCCCGCTATCAAGGCCTTGTGCAATGCCGCTAGTCGAGCGTGGCCCGTCAAGCATCGAATGCCCACTGGTACATCATCCGGTTCAGCAGCAGCTTGGCAATCCATAGCCCAGTCTCGGATGGTCCAGCCAGGAAACACCGTGGACAGTAAAACAAGTGAACTACACTAGCAAACTGTTGCCACAATGTCTGCAAACAAGCTAAACCACAACAGCTTCAACCACAACTGTTGCCACAAAACTTCAGCTTCGCCGGGTTGTTTCGCGTCGGCCTCGGCCTCACCGACCGGTGACCGTTTCGTGCGACCGTTCCGTTCCGAGGGACGAGAAGGAGACGGACTTGGTCACTGAGAACGCGGGGAGTCACCCGTTGTACATGGAGAGATCAAGAACAATCACTGGTTGTCTGTTTAACATCCATGCGATTTTTCTCCATCAAAATCATCAAACGATGCACCACCGCCTCCTTTTGGTCTCACAGCCAGGCCAAGAGGACTCCGTCCGCAAAGTGTTCAAACCCATTTTCTCACAGCCTCTCCAACGTCTCAGTCTTGGCTGAACGCCTGGCAACAGTTCTGGTTCTTCGGTTTGTAGCCGCAACTTGGCACAACGACACTCTCCCCTCTCTCTGTTATCTTGGTCCGGCAGGTACTGTGGGCTGAAAAAAGAGAGCCACATCCAGTGTGGCGATATCTTGCCGACGTAGCAACTTGTTTGGCAGGAAACGATGACAAACTATGTAAGACGTCAATGCTTCCAGTTTCACTCAAACTTAACTTGTGGTCCAAAAATGTTCTCCAACCCGCAATGCCTCTGAACAATGCAAATACCGCAATGCTAACGCAATGCCAATGAACTAGAATGCTAGAAATGAACGTGCAACCGTCAGCGATGCCTCAGGCAATGAGCGGATGTTCTTCAGCCTGACCGAAAAATGGTTGACTATACATTGAACCAGCGAGTCTCTGTCGTTCGCCTGATCAAATCAAGTCAATTTGTTCGAACAACTACTGTATTGGTTGTCCACACTATATAGTTGTTCTTCTTTGCACCTCTTCACGACCTATGCGAGTTCCAACAAGAGGTGCAAACTGGAAAGGTGTTTTTTTCGCGTGCAAAGCTCGTTCATCACTTGGATGAAACCGTGCACCTGGTTTCTTCGACTGAAAAGGCTCCGTGGGCCCAAGGGAAACAAGCCGTTGATCTCGAGTGTCAAAGTGGCTAAAGTCAAGCAAAGAACTCACTTCCATGGGTCCTTTGCATAAAGATGTTCACTTTCATCCATGGGTCCTTGCCGTCCTTGCCGTCCTTGCCCACAACTGCCCAGTTTCGAACAGAACGCTTTTTTGGTTACAAGGTGTTTTTTCCGCTTTGAATCCGGTTGTTTGTTTTTCTGCTGGTGTTTTCTACCAGTGTAGTGGGCAATGCATTGGAGAAACAAACAAAGAAAAGGAATCCACAATATTCACTTTGTTAGAAGTTTGCCGTTGACAGGAAACATGCATGTTCTCAACGGATGATTCCTTTTCAAGAAAGTCAATTAGTTGCATTTCATAGTCAGTTCTAGTAGAAACCAAACTGGGTAGTGGGTAGGCAACTTTGGCGCCTTCATTATGTATCGTTTTTGGAACAACGTTTGGAACCAAACGTTTGAAACACAAACATGCCGAAATCAACATCTCAACATATACAACGCAAAAATTCGCAGTACGGAGTCATAAAACAAACGCCGTTATATAGTATCAAGTCTATCTTGGAATACAAAATCCTTAACATCAGCAGCTGCTCTCTGTTCTTGGACATCAGGGTCCTATGATGTCCTATGACAGTTGAAAGGCCACGTCTGGAATGCGGTGAAGTCAAGTTCTATACCGTAATAGCCTCCGCCTCTCTTTGCCCAACTGCTCTAATATGGTGCATCAAAACCATAAGCCTCCAAGTTTGAATGGACAAATCCAAATGCCCCGGGACGGGTTCCAAATGGAGAGAAATCTTTGATACATGAGGTATGGCCAAAGCAGCGTTCAGAACATTCTGTCATCCCGTTTTACCACCTGGCTGATAGGCATTCCGAATTCCCATACTCAAGTAGGTCAATTGATCCAACTCAAGTAGGACAGTTCATCCAATGTAATAGTCAATCAACAAGGGTTTTCGAACTCTTCAAGTGTCCTTACCGACCCTTCGGAACCCTCCGCAACCTCGCCGAAACCACATTGTCCTCCTGCACAGCTCATGGTGCGCACGTGGTCGGAGATTCAATAGAAGAGGTTGGCATAAAGTGTTTAAAAGGGCATGTTGCCTACTAGTAGTAGTAGTAGTAGTAGTAGTTGGTGGCATGGGCAAACCCACCATTCTATCCTGTTTGATTTGGTGGGGGTGCTGACGCTTTTGAAGAGTGCCCATGGTCAGATTCGGAAGATGCCAAAGTGGCCTCTGTCATGAGGTACCTTCGGGGGAACCGTAAATGAACCTCCTAGCTTATCATGAATTTTCATGAATCCACTAGTCATGTCACCATTGGACCTTTGAACCTTCAACTTTCATCTTCCCACCTGGTCGTTGTGGCAGAGCGTCGTGCCAACCGCCTGGCTTTTCTGCGGGGTTCATATCGCTTCGATGTGTTTGCTTGTCATTTGACCTTTTCTGGAATGGACAAATGATGTCAGGTCATGCCAGGTCAACAATTTCTTACAGCGTCTGTCACAGTCTCTACTTTATTCAAACAGGCTTAAAGTGGGTGATCATAATGCGTTGGCAGTTGGCAGCAAATGAACTTTCTGCGAGAGGTGAATTTGGTGTACGCCATGTTGTTTCTTCCCTTTTGCATGATTGAACATCTATTGGTGGTATTACTGTACTTTATCACTTTCCATTTTAGTTGCTGCTGTGGTTGTGTTGCTATTGAAGCTGCTATTGTTTGCTATTGTCACATGAGCTCAACGATGATAGTGGGGGATGTCGGGGGATACCGCAAATCCATGCAAATAATGGGTGTAAACATGTGAAATATGTTAAGTTCCCATATTGCTAAGTTTGGGGCGTGGAGAATGGAAACCAACATTTTTCGGCGATGAATGGTAAATCCGCCTAGTTACCTAGTTCGATACAACTTGATACGGTGATACTTTTGCATCCCCAAGATGAAACAAAATCACTTGCCCCAAGCATCAACTGCATCGACAAGACCTTGGACATATTTGTTTCGCCATCGCCCCGCCACTTCAGATCATCTTCTTCAAGGGCCATGTCAGGTCAGGGCGGTCAAGGCATCAGCTCAGCATCTGACCCACATAGCCCTTCCAGTACTTGTGGCGGCGCTGCCAATCTCTGCAGTCCCAATCACAGTCTTCTCCGAACCACTTGCACCCAACAGTGTTCTTGCACGCATATTGGTTGAAATATTTGCTCTTGCACCGTTTGGTCATACGTGGATTGTCTGCCCAATTAGCATAGCGAAAGTCACAAGGAGGATACTTCTTGTCGTCACGCTTCTTTTCGTCAAGAGATTTCTCAGATGTGTCCGCATCATCTGACCTGGGAGCAAAACGAAACATACGTGAATGTGCCGCATCTTTGGTTCACCACAATGACACGCAACGCCATGAGCAAAATGTACCTTGACACACCTTGATGCACCTTGCAAAAAGTAATAATTAAACATAGTAAACTGCAACTCAAGCAGAATGGGAGCTGCGGATTTCAATGATTCCACTAGGAAAAGCATACCATTGGCCATAGCCAAGGCACACAAAACGGACGGCAAATGTCATCGAGATGCAAAGAAAGAACAACCTGAGGGAAAACGTCGTCCAGTGCAGCAAATCCATCCACAAAAACACATTTGAAGTGAGATCAAGTCAAGCAAGATGAAAAGGGTCGATGTCCAGAACCGGCTTGCGCCTTGGGTGAATGGTTACCTTCTCAGGGTACGGGTGCCGTATTCGATGGCGAACTTTGCATTTTGTCCAACTGCTACCACACCAAGGAAACTTGTGATCCAACCTGTAGGTAGGCAACATACGGGGGGATGGGATTGGGGGGGATGGGGTTCGGTGGGATGGGGTTAGTTAGGGATGACGGGATGGCGATCTGGATCAAGTCATGAACTGGTACCCAACAAACCCGTCCAAAATGATGACTAAAATGGATGGTTTCATCATCCCAAAAATGGCACCGTCATAATACTTTTTAAACAAGTCGCCATATGGCTATGGGTCAAATCATGATGGTACCAATGACACGCAAAAATGGGAACAATATCTTTATTGGGGAAACCCTCCATTTGGGGGATTGATCATTTTTGATCCTATTCGCCATGTGGCAACATGAACGACAAGGGGCCACGTCGTAGTTGCAACACGCATGATCTATCAAAGAACGCACGTCGTTGAGCTGCTATGAGCTGCTAGCTCGAGATAGGCGATGGCTGCGACCATGATGGACACTGATCCAACTTGGGAATCTCTTCTTCTCCATGATGCTCACCCACATGATTCAAAATGACTGAACATGACACCCTGCACCCGACGTAGAGGGTTCTTCATCATTGTCAGTAGATGTCATTAGCAAATCTATGTTGGACATGATAGACCTATTATAGACATGCAATAACATGCATACACGATGACGATAACTAATCAACAAAAACATGGACGACTGTAGAGAAATCACCACCAAATTGTGACTCTGAAGTTATGAAGGTCAAAATGAACACCCTCTATTTTCACACCTTTTATGAACGGAAGCTCATTGGACATTCTCCCTGCGATCATCCAGTGTCTGATGTATCTGGTAAGTTGTCCCATCGATCGAATAGAATCACAACCAGAACAAATGCCATACGTCTGAAACTGTTTCCAGAATCATAGCCAGAGGTTCCCAAAGACCGCTAGTTCTGGCTGCCCTCCACCTCAGCTCAGTCTTGCGATGACACCCTACAAGTGAAAAGAAAGCTCAGGTTAGGGTTGAAAGTGGTTGAATTGCTGACATGGGTATTGATCAGGATTATCAACCCCAAAATGAATGAGTTTCCCTACTAAAAATGACCATTTGTGGGGGTCATTGGTACCAGAAATCTGATCCCCAAACTACATATCCATTGTCATCAATCGCTGGCATGAGACAAATGTGACATTATTGCCATTATTCATACTAAACGGTCATGGTCACCCGAATGCCAAATCCACCGGTTTCGGTACGATTTGCCGATTCCAAGGAACGTCCGGATGTACATTGATGTGGGGCTCTGCAATTCTCGAAAACTCACATGGACCCTGAAAGCCACTGGTTGGTAGAGGAGCCTACACTCTTCCAGGTTACCAGGACGTCAGGGTAGAGGTAGAGGTTGCAGAGGTAAGCAGTAGTGCTGGTCATCAGGACGGAATTTTGTATGACAATCTGGTATTCACTGCTGTTATCTATGTTTGTCATGTTGTATCCATTGCCATCTGTTGTTATCTATGTTTATCATGTTTTCTCCATGGCTATCCGTTGTTATCATTGTTATCCATCGTTCTCCGCTGGCATCCATGGCTTTTGATATTGCATTCTCCACGTAGACACTGCTGTGGACGTGTATAGAGAATGCTTGTTTTGCAAGGCAAAAGGCAGTGTTTTTGCACCTTCCAATCTCATCCCAGGACCACCGACCACACCGCCTCACACCTGAGGCTTCCTCGCTTCGCTTGTCAACGTGCGTGTTGCGTGCTCAGCCTGCGAGACAAACTGGTGGCGACATGACGCCATACGCTCCCGAGAAACGATCCCATGTACCTCCAAATCCAACCACATCCACTGAGTTTGGAGTTGGTTGATATGGTGAGGTGAATTCTTTGCGCATAGCTCCCAAAATTTCAATTTTATCCACTTCGCCATCCCCCCAACCCCAAACCATCACCCCATCCGCCCATATCCACCGCATGGTTGTTGGCAGTTGGGTACCATGAAACATCCATGGGTACCCAGCTTTGACCTAGTTCACCAGATCCTCTTTGATTCCTTCACCTTGGGCTCGCCAGACCCTTCGTCAAGACAGCAGCTGAAGCGACCAAGAGCCTGAGCACAGCCGTGACGTCATAGAGTGATATAGTGATATGCAACGTGGTAAACTTCACGATAAACCAGACCTGGATATTGCTAACAATAAAAACACACAAGAAACCACCACTAACATCCACTAACTATCATTATATAACTATATATAATTAGTTTACACCTTAGCATTGTAGGACTTGTTTTTGGGCTTGCTGCATGTATTTGTTTTTGGATCCTCTGGGCTTGGGATCAGTCGTCCATGTTCTGATACCCCTCGGTACGAGACTCGCAGAAAGGCTTCATCTTTAGGGCAATCAAAAGGCAGTTTGAGGCTTGGTCAGCTCCATGATGCATCGGGTCACATACCAATTGTGAGCTCCAAGCATCGGGTCCTGCATCGGGTGGTGAGCCGTCCATTAAACAAGTATACGGTATACGGTCCTCGGACCCGACTGTGGAACCCTTGCCGTCTGTTCAAATACTCCATAGCTACCGATTCAGGGCGAAAAGAGCTTTGTGCAGCCGTCGTCAAGAACTTGCTAACCAGTCGTTTTATGAGCAAACTGGTGAATAGTCTCATGATATCTCATTATTCAATTGTCAAATTTATGGTGTGTTTTATTTAAAATGGCTATGGGCTATGGTTCAAATTTGATTAACCATTTCTGGATTATTTCCACCAAGACTAGTCTATTTTGAATGGTAGTTGGCTGGGCGGTGATAGATGGCCGCCTGCTAAACCCCGTTTTTTTCCGCATGTTCATGTAAACTTGATCACGTTGTTGATGCTACGCAACAAACTGGGGTGGGGTGGGGTGGCAGGCTTTGAACAGTTCAGTCCAGCTGCCCTCAACAGAAAGCATCATGAAGAAGGTCAGTGTGTTGCACCCACATTGCCCTGATGCTATATCAATGGGCTTGCCGTGTTCACACAGTCCGCGGCAAAAGCCTTCGTGATGTGTTGCACACTATTCGAAGCCTTTTCTAGGTCTTTGTTGGGGATTTTCGAACAAACGATTTTGCAGGTTGGAGACATCTATGCATGCTGGATACCCGAGTCCTTTTCATCAATTTTGGGTGCCTGAAAATCATTGTCTTTATCAACATTTGCCATACATGGCACGAACCTTGGATTGCCGGGTGTAATCCACTGTGAGACTTCCATTTTTCATCATGTTCTACTGGTTTGAGATGATTGGTACAAACCATGCGCTAACAATTCAATCAGAATATATTCGAGATACAACCATTACATGCCAGTACTAACTATTCGATATAAGCTTTGAACATAGTCACTACCCCTGTATTCAATAGAAATGGACCAACCATTTGCTAACCGTTATTGATACATCTAACACATAGGATCACATGGTGTTTATCCGTTCGAAACGACCACCATGGCGCCGAACCTTCGATCAGTGGGCGCCACCGATCGGCACCACCACGGCGATGGGGTGGTCGCTGTGGGCCGATGGGATGTGGTGGCTCTGTGGTGAACATCCGACCGGGTTCAAAGGTGTTGCCAGCCGAAGTGGTTCGATTTGTTTGGACCAGAAAAACCCTCCGATGTTTTTGGGGATCATGTTCGGATATTTTTGGATGTTCTTTTTTTCGTTCATCATGGATGTTTTGATGTGCTTGGATTGTGTCGGCTAACCCTTTTTTCGAGTTCGTCTCTTCGGGGGTTCAATCATTTGTCATTTTGTCATAACGGTTTGTAGATGGTGGTAATGGTGGTTCTGACAATCCATCGGGGCGCCGGAGTGGCTTTCGTTTTCTCCAACATAGATTCAGTTGGGATGATTGTGACGGCTATCCGCCTAGCCACGATGCCGAAGAGAATGCAAGAACACGTTCCAGAGAGACTGCCGTAGAATGCTAGATTTGCCCGAAGAGAATGACAGAAACACATGCCATGGTGGGGGTGATGCCTCGAAGTAGAGTACATTTACAAACTCCAAGTACCCAAAGTAAATTTACAGTACATGGCGGTGGTTTTAACTGACTATATATCATTCTCCGATGTTGTAGATGGCAACTCAAACCACTCACAAACCATTATCACCATCAAATCAAGATTGTACTTGATATGAGTTCAAAGTGCCTGTGACCTAACATGGCACCGCAAAATCCATCGAATGTGTGGGCACGTGCATGGTAAAACATTACCACGTTAGATTACCAGAGGGTGATGATGATCCACGATGTTTGACTCTAATCGGAGGATCATCCCAATTACTGGTTACTAAGGTTACAAGCCATCGAACTAAATGGACCAGCTCGGGGACGACTTCATCACCAGGTCGATACTGATCGTAATACCTAAAGGTCCTAAAGGCGATGTTCCCCAAGCCTTTAAATTGAAGTGCTGCACCGACTTGGACAATGCTCAAAGGCACGCACGTAGAGGCGTGTAGAGGTATGAAACTCCAGCATTCTTTTCCATTTTGGGATACTCCGCCCTGAAACGTGAGTTGTGATCTCAATACGATCACTCTCCAGCACTTGGTGACCATCTATATGACCCAATCTTTAAGCCGTTCGGACCCGTTCGAGAGTGTTAAAACTCAATACCGTCATGTTAAAGCCAACTGTCCTGATTACGTTCAAATTACGTTCGGTTTTACGTAAGCATAATAATGTATTTTTGCGACCCCAAAAGTGGTCTTAGGCGAGCCAAGAAAAATCATAGTTATCAATGTCCAGCTATAAAAACTCATCCATGAATCATGGATCAATGTTCCAAGTTTGAGAGCTTGACAAGGCTATTTCGAGGGATGGTGCAGGTACACTTCATTTCACCCACCACAACTGCCAATTACATATACACACACCATTGTGTGAGTATGATCCGGAGGCCGTGGAAGTATGACCCCAAAGTCCCAGAGTACTGTGTGGATGAGGAAAATGTGATCAAGCTGAGCGAACTTGAGAAGCGCTTGGGAAGACGGAACTTGAGGACACTCAGTTTTACTTGTATTGCATGTGCAGCACATGCACCACTGGCAGTGTCAAGTTTGCCAACTCAGCTGTGCTTTTTGGGGCACTGCGCAAGATTAAACATGTTCCGGGGACCGGGGACTCTCGATGTCAATGCGTGTGAAGCCACACGAGTCGATCATCTAGGATCCCACACCGAGTCGAAGGCGCCATTCACGGTGAAGGAAGCCAAGTCGGCATTGCCACCCTGCAGTCCATTCCAGCGAATGGAACAGAAAAACATGAGAGTGAATCATTGCTAGTACCATCTAGTAAGTAGTCCTCAATCATGGAAAAAGGCGAGAAACAACCATGATCAACTACCATGGCTTCATCAGAGTTCACCAACATCTTCCAAAAAACATCTGTCGGGCATTCTTCGAAGACCCTCCTCCTTGCGTGACACGCCGATTTCTCGCTGGTCCACGTGGCCGGTCTTTTGCCGGCTGCAACGATCACTGTTAACAACGTGCCGGCGTTAAGAATGCTTGGAGACACACCCAGCAATTCCACCAGAGAGCAAAGCAGAGACCAAGAAGAAGGCACCATGGATGATACCTGAGACAAACACTCACTTGGTTTATGTAAAGTTGGCTGTTTGGCAAGTTTGGCCCAGTTGTTTCCTCTGACAACTTACCTCCAATCGAAATGGAATCAATGCATGATTCGAAACAACAACCAGCCAGTAACGTCAAGCATTCTGAAGGATGAAAGCTTCGCAAACTATGCACATGTCCCCTTCCAAGATCTTTCAACCCTGCACTGAGGCTTTCGGAAGAGTAGAACCCTGCAACAACCAATATATTCCAGACCGTGTTCATCCTTTTTTACTTTGGAAAACCACCGGTGCTTCCCAAAGCATCCATGTCAACTTCTTGGATGGCGCCGAAAAAGGACCCCTTTGAGTCAAGGATTAACAAAGTCTCGGGGTCCTGCGAGCTGCCCATGGCGCGACCATGGCGGTCATACTTCCGAGCCGCATTGCTGGATGTCCTTTTGCCGTGCTTTGAAGTCATGGATGGCCGCAATCTCCTAGAGAGATCTGCGAGATTGAGGTCAGCGAAGGAAGGAGAGTCGTCGACAATGGACAAGTTCCATTGGATCTCTTGCAATATATGGAGGTCAGCGAGAACACCGTGGATCTGCTCTCTCTACATGATCGAAAGTGAAGTTTGTTGGCCACTAGATCAGCCAACCAGGGTCTTGGCCTTACTTTTCGAGGTTGATCACACATGTATCATGTCATGTTCAGCTTTCGGCACATGTCACATGTCTGATTTCAATGCAGTTCTCCTGCTTCAGGGCCATCTTCCAGGCAGGGGCATTGTTTTTGACCATTTGCACCGCATCTTTGACCATGTGGATGACATAGGCCGGTGGGTCATTAGGCTGCGTCCTTGTTCGGTTAGGCCACGATTCGTGTGTGCGACGACAGATAGCCGCCTGGTATACCCTTGTAGAAAGGACGTGGTCGATGACCCGGGGGAATGAGGACCTTCAACTTCGAAACACGTTCGTCGCGGTTCCTTGTTCGTTCGCGCGTGACATCTAAGGCGGTGGCACTTCTTGGAAGGCTTTGCCCACCTCGTGCGGCCAACTGCAACAAGATTCCTGCGGTGCTCGTGTTACACATGCATACCGCATACACATTAATGCAATATATTCATGTCTCCAGTTCCATGGAGATGTTCCCAACTACACTTAGGTCCTCAATTTGGCAACCTAATATCACGACGAGGCGGCGGCCAAGGCGCTCCGATGCAGTGTCGCAACTTCTTATCCTTCCAAATGGCACCGAAGACATGGCGGCTTCTTTCGCCCAGCAAACGCGGCTCCAAACGGAGCATGCAAAGGAAGTCGTCCACTGCATCCTGAACGTGTGCTTTTGCGCGCTCCCGACGCCAAACTGCACGAGAGAGACCCAAGAAGGACTGGACTCGACACATCTGCACCCGCTGATGCCACAAACCCGACTTGGGAGAGTGAATCCACTGCACATATGGTATACCACTGAACAAAACGCAGAAACTCTGCGGTCGAGTGTTTCCAGGTCGTGCGGAGACGTCCGTGTGTCTTGACACCAAGATCCATCCATCGGCGTCAGAAAAAAAGGGTCAAGTCGTGACTTACATGCAGAGTATTCGTTAATATTTGTTATATAGAAAACTGAGAGTCAACCATCGTTTTAACATGTGGCATACTTCCGGTTCACGACCCACTGATTTTGATTCTATTCCATATATATAAAGTATATATATTTATATATACTTATGACCTCAGAAAAACAGCCAAAAACTACCTATAGCATCCAAGCTCGCCCCATTGGGAAAGTCAAGAAATGACCAAGCCTTGTGTTCACCTACTGGTCAGCAACCATCAGGAACCCGCACGTTCCGCGCGCGGAACCCGCGCGTGGATGTTGGTGGCCACGGCGCATCCCACTTGTTGACGCTGACTGTTCCCTGCAGTTTGTCGATGAAGCCCAGAATCTCCTGGCGGCCGCATGGGCCCAGATCGAGCCCTCGTTGCAACCACGAAGAAACGTTCGACAAAGGGTGCGAATGATCATTCAACAAACTTTCTTGGGTGAACGTTTGTGAACTGGAAGGGTCAGGAAAGGAGATGAACGGAAGCTGCTGCGAACGCAAAGCACAGCTTGAGCTCCTCCAGCTCACGTAGATCAGATGCCATTTGCTCAGGAGCCGTGTGTACCAGCGCTTTCAAGAAGCCTCCCAATCAAGGGTGAAGTTCAAAAAGAATCATTGAACAATACGAGGTCATCCCGGCAGATTCCACTTTCACAAGGAAGAGTGGGGCAAACATCGCAAAGCCAGCCAGATGGGAGAATACAACAGCTTGTCGGCTGCGGAGTCAAATCCATGAATGTTTATAAACCTAGAGCCCAAACATGACCTCTGTTTTGAAAGTTTGACCATATTTTGGGTGGTTAGTGGTCCAAAATAGGGGTCACAAGAAGGCTCTAGGTGCTCTTTGATAACGACATCAAGTTAAAAGCGTGTTCCTTCGATATCACCAGTCCCATACCCACCTGTGTCCGTTTCTCCCTTAAAACTGAGGTGACCGTGCAAAATGGACCCTGTTAAGAGATTGCTTTCTGTATCACACTGGTTCTTGTGTCTGCTTCAGCCGCAAACGGCGCGTCTGACGTGGGTCCTCTCCACACAAACAACTATGCTTCATCACGATGCACCAACTGAAAACAAACAATTAGAATTTAAAGTATTTGTCAACCCAGCTGAGCCTGGTGTCCATGGTGTGTAGCCTCAGGTTCAATCCAAATCGGGTGACGAAAAACAGAGAAAACAACAGGCATCGCTTCATCAACATGGAATCTAAGCCAACCCCAAGTAAAAGTTTTCAGATGAATCGATTCATCTGAAAACCCAGCAAACTGTGGCAGGGTGTCTTGAGGAAAAAGCACCAAATCTATTCAAACGGTCCCAAGAAGCGGGTCGCAGACTGCAAGTGTGCATCAGTGAGCTCAATGACCAAAGGATGAGCCTCCAAGCCTGACCGGCATCTCGGACATGGTGCAAACCCAGGTTTGCAGAGTTAGTTTGTTTTAAGTCACAATAGAGGGACTGATAGAGGGAGATCGGCTGGCCATGGCTGGATTCGCTGACTGGATAGTTTACTTGTCACTAGCGTCGCAACCGGCTTAGACACGGACATGCGTCCTGACAATTGAACCAAGAACCACGCCCATCCTGGCCTTCGATGTGACGTAGTAGCAAAAGAAAGCTCCCAACTGCGTCGATCAACTGCTTCTGCTTTTCGGGCGTTTTGGCATCTGCAAAACTCTGTAGATCGTCCCAGGCTTTTTTCAATGTCTCCATCTGCTCCATCTCGTCTTTCAACTTGGATCTCTTGCGCTCCTCATCTCTCTTATCTCTTCCCAGCTCTCTCTCCCTCTTTTCGATGCTGGCCTGGCCCAAATCAACAATCTTTTGGAATTCCTTCTCAAAGCTACCATCCTTCCGCAGCATCTCCTCCACAATCTTGCTTTGCAAGCTGGCTGTCGCATCCAGCAGAGTCCTTACTAGCGCTTCCGGCCAATCCGAGGTCGACCACCTGCGGGTCACATTCCGAGGTGAAGACCCGCCCAGACTCGCAGGGGAACACCCGCTTTCACAGGGGAGCCTGTTCCACTCACCAGGTCTATCGCCAAGGTCATATCCAAAGCAGGAGCTGCACAGATATTGAAGGGGAGCTTTGAGCCCATCATAGTCTTTCTTGGATTCCTCAGAACAAACCTTCGATGCAACCGGCTTGCACTTGATGTCTTTACATTTGGGCGCTTCCCCCTTCTTCCACTTGGCTCCTGCCAAGTATGCGCCCGATAAATCTGCACCAGTTAGATCGCTTCCACTCAGGTCCGCATGCATGAACCAAACTCCCTGCAGCTTGGCCCGCACCAGCGTGGCGCTCGCGAGGCGCGCGTCATGAAGTGTGGCACCCTGCAGTTGAGCACCTCGTAGATCGGCTGCTTGCAGCTCTGCCTTCGTGAGGTTGGCACCCTGAAGACAAGCACCTCGGAGATCAGCTCCTTGAAGCTTGGCACATCTGAGGTTGGCTCCTTGCAGCTGGATGCCCCGCAAATCAGCGCCTTGCAGCTGGGCATTTTCAAAGTCGAAAGGTAGACATCGAGAGCTCCTGGAGCTCACCCAACCTCTCGACTTCTCGCGAAACTCTTCACCGTTCGGCTTGCTCTCGAGCTGGGCAGCCTCTTCCTGGTACTCTTTCACGAACTCTAGCCAGTCCTGGTGCCAAGACTCTCTTGATGTCAGTCTTTGTTGGACAAAAAGGTGGATGTTTCAGCTGTTGGAGGATAATTACATGCCACTCTGTAACATCTATGGTCTCTAGATGTCTCTATGATGTCTTTCTATAGTGCTTGCCCTTGTTTGACCACGTCATATTTTTCCAGAAAAAAAACAACTAGAGATACCTAGTAGTTAGTAGAGTGATTTTTGCGTGCAGTGATGTTAGTTTTAAAAAGGACCCCCAGTGTCGCGCAGCCCCCCCAGTGTCAAGCAATGAAGACTTGACACCTCCCGCGTACGGTCCGTGCACCGTCCGCCTCGTTCGGAGACAGCCGAACAGCAACACTTTGGGGGGCAGAAACAACCCCTATAGGGATCCGTTTTCGTACCTTCTCAGGTACGGTGAGGACGGAGACTATTGATATCTTTATGTAGGCGCCCGGGTCGGGCCCAAGTAATTACCTCCTGAGAAGGTACAGTATGTGGATTTGTAGGGGAACGATCTGATCGCTTCGTTTGCACTGATCCGGAAGCTATGATGCGTCATGTCGAACAATGCCAACTGCTCCTCGAGCTTGGCAAGTTCTTCAGGAGGAATTTCCTCCTCGAAGGGCGTCTGAATTTCAAGGCTTGGCTTCGTTTCATCCGTGCTGTGCGACCTCACCAGCCGAAATCGCTCAAGCCAATGGCAAGCTTCTCGAGCATCGATTCCACGGCACACGTCCTCGAAGAGCTCGTCATCAATCTGTAGGTACTTCTTTTGAGCTTTCAGCCCTTTGCCCTGGTCCTCGATGCGTCTGTGTAAGTGATCCTTCCATTTCGCCAACGGGCTCATCGCCGAGCCCACTGAAGACCCCTCGCCGGGCTCTCCCATGTTCGGCGCAGAATGTGGCGCTGCGAACACGATTTGATGTTGAATTCTTGCAGTGGCCACAATTGAGAAGCAAATAGGTGCAGGATGTTGCAGGGTATCAGACTATCAGAAAAGATTGATACATCCAAATAGGTCGACATAGAAAGCCAACTAGCTACATGTAGAGATCTATAGAGCATCATTCCGTTGTTTTTCGCCAAAACACATGATGATCATGATGGGACCATACTCAAACCCGATCGAGTTCTCCAGCAGTTCGGTCCATCGATTCTCCGAGCAGTTCGAGTTCCTCCAGTTCCACCAGCCTGGTGCAGAAAGCTGAAGACGACTCCATGAACTCGAGAAGTCGCAGACGGTGAAGACGGGAGACAGTCACACCTGAAGCCACCGGTGGAGTGGCAGAGCCACGCATTTGGCCCATTCAACTGCTCAACCAGGTCCTTCCAGGTCCTTCCCCTGCTTCTAAATTCAGATCCTAACCTGGGTGTCCTTTCTGGATCTGAATTAGGATCGGTGGTTTGAACAGGTGGTCCAATGCTTCAACAGGTGGTCCAGTGCTTCAGAACCAAACCACCTCTTGAGGTTTAGTGTCATTCATTTTGCGTCAAGGCAGCACCTCCCATTCAACGATCGCCTTCTTCCAAAACGGGGGGAGGCGAAGTTTCCGGGGGTCTGGCTCCCTGTCTGCCGGTAGAACCGACTCGGTCTCCGACTTCTGCGGCATACCTCTGGACACTCCCTGGGACCTCTGGACCTCCCTTTCACTCAAGCAGCTCGTGCGGTTCCGCAGTGCCTCTTCCCGCGGTTCCGCGCAGCGCCGCGCTTCCGCTGCAACGGCCCAAACGGCCACGGCTGGATACTGCTGGGTGGTTGGATGCATCCAGTGAGAGTCTTCCCCCGTCTACCGGAGCATTACATCTTCATTGATTCCTAGGGCTCTGTGGAATAATTCTTTCAAAAACAAACAAAGCACTTCAGGTGCAAAAGGAAGCACTTGAAGATGGAAGACACAAGTCGTGAAGCACTTCGAAGTGCGAGCCCCAAAAGAAGGACGGGTTTTCGAAGCCCCACTGTCAGAGCTCTGTCCGTCAGCATCCCAACCCCGCTCCGCTCCGCTCATCCCGAAACTGCGATGGACCTACACGTCGCATGGACCGGTCGCCGACAGGATGGTTTTAGATCTCCGGCAACATTTAAGACACAGACCGAGCGCATTAAAGGCCATCCGACAGAAATCCCTTTAAGATGAGCGCTAGAAGAAGCGACAGAACTTCGGCTAGGACTTCGTTTGGACGGACATTCGGCTGCAGCGGGACAATTAACATCAATCAACTGTTTTGGCTCGGGGTGACTGGACAAAATGACAATTCAAATCACCAAACTCAAGCCTTTCACAAGACCAGTGTGCCGCTTTGCTGTGGTTTGCACATTTTTTGGCAACGCCAACCAGGTCTTAAGGATTTCATTTGCTACCCTGGTAGGATCCTTTGACCCCACGTCTTTGATTCTTATGCGACTGGGACCGAGCACGAACCAATTTTGCTGTCGACCCTCCTCGTCTGGTGGTTCTGGCGGATAGGTATCGCACAGTTGAACTGGAATGATGGGAATGTCCCTTTCGTGTGCAGTTTTCAACTCTCTCCAGGTCTCATAGCCCACGCCCGTCTTCTGGCCATAGTGATGGGTGCAAAATGCCACCATGGCGATGGCATGGTAGAGGCCTGATATGGTAGCTGGGGCAAAGTCGCCACCCGCTCCCAGTCCGTCCACCATGCATGTTCTCGCTCCCAAAGCCTGCAGTTCGTCTCTGACCGCTCTCATGTATCTCTTGATCTGAGGATCATTGAAGCGCCCCGAAAGGAACAAGTGTATCCCATTTGCAGGAGCCATGGGTGTTGGCACTGAGCGTGCCTCTCCAGCCGAGGACTGCGCTTCAGAGGACTCCGCACCTGGCTGAGTCGTCCCACAGGACAAACACCAAGGTCCAAAGCCGGCATTCCGGTCTGCCACGGCCCAAGAAATTCGACCGAAAGCGCCATCGTTGAGCAGCCTCTGCAAACGTGTTGGATCCAATAACTTGTGCCTTAGCTCTTCAAGTGGGATTGCAGGCGCCTGTCGATTAGCCGCTCGAATGCCCAGGAAACGTTTCAGTTCTGAAAGAGAGATGGTGTCTTTGCGCCCATTCAGGAGATCCAAGAGCTCCATGAGCCTGTTGGATAGATCCGTGGCCGGCTTCTTCAGCTCTTGTAGCAAAAGATCGTGCAACGCGAGGAAATCAATTGATGCCTTTGAGGCCTCTGTCAGAGCAAACAGAAACACTTCGGCAGAACCAACACATTGGGTTGACCCGAAATCTCAAATGTGCCGGTAAACACAGAAGCAAACCTAAGGAACACAAGCCAGAATCAGCGAGGATATTAATATATTCAACCAATTTATGTCTTTCTTCCTCGCCTGCATCGTCGTCGAGCTCACCCCCAGCATCTGCATAGCTGTTCCCAACTTCTCTGCATGTAGCCCACAGCCATCCTGGTCAAGCTGTGCAACGACCCTATCGCTTGCGCTGATGCTGAGATTCCACATGACTTCCTCTGGGCTCAACACATCAATGTATTCAAACACATCCAGCTCCTCGTTGAGGCTCTCGCAAATATGTCGGGCTTTTTCTTCATCGTCCTCACAGCAGGAAGCAATAACTACCTGGTGCTTTCCATCTGCGCGTAGCCACTGTCGGAGATTCTCTTCCAGTCCGTCAATGGGACATTCCCAACCTTGAAGCAAATGATAGAAAGCGATATCATTCTTCTCAGATGCATGTTGCAGGTCTTTGTCAAGGAAGCGGAGCTCTTCCCTGGTGGAGTTCTGCATCTTTGGTTGCACGCCAACCAATAAAATCTTGCTAGCACCTCGATCGGCACAGAAGCTAATTGTACTGAACGCACGGCAACGAAAGGCGTCGTACCATCCCGTGTCGGTGACCTGTGTCGAAAGGCGGTTTTCTGGCCAAATCGGGGTGCTGCATGGGACGTTCATTCTAGCAACTTAAAATTGAAGGTACAACTGGCGAAATCTTCGTTTCGGGCAAATGGGTCTGGAGCCTCAGAAGAAGGGGAGGCACCCAAAACGTCCCAAACATGGGGCATGTTCATCTGCTTGTCAGTGTCTTTACGAAGCTGTTTGTGGACTTCCTGCCTTTCTGCAGCGGACGATCTTAGTGAGCTTCTTAATCTTGTCAGCAGCAAAAATCAAGCCTGAAGCCATGCAAATCTCCCTCACCAAAGCAAACGTTACCTGCTCGACATGCTCCAAGCACAAGGACCTTTGCGCAACGTGGGCTCTGGCAACATGGGCATCTGTCCAGATCTTGAAGTATAGATCTTCGGAAATTTTGTGCCAGTTCCCCCTTTTCTGGGCCAGCACTTTGTGGAAATCTGAGCTCATTTTCTTCGACAGCTCTGACAGATCTACCTCTAT